TATATTATTATATATATTGGTATATATATATATATAGATACAGATATATATATATATCGACATGGAACATGAAGAATGTATCGGGACTATTTTCGATTTTTTTCGATCATTTTTTGTTTTGTTCACGATTCTTCTTTTGTATATTCGGTGTACTTTTCACTCTATATGTATAGGCCCTTCTATATGTATTTGGGTTCGATACTTCTAAAGATTGGTTTATGGTGTATTGGAAGCTATTTTATTGATAGATGATGTACAGTGAGCTCCATACTTTGTGGGCGAACTATTTATTCCCTCGCATGTGTCGCGATATACACTAAAACCTGTCAAGACATTAGTGGCGGTGATGGCAATAGTTGTAATCGTAGATTTATATGAGAACAAAGAAATTGTTAAGTGCAATCGTAGATCTATGAGTGGTCAGATGACAGATGATTTGAACAAGATAGCTCAATGGATGTATATGTACCTGTACATATCTGCAACTCGTCATACTTTCTTCCATTTTCATAAATATTTTATTTGCGGACCTGAGTCAATATATAAACTCTTACAGATGCCATATATCTTATTCCTTGCCAAACAATTCTTTCGCAGATGGCATTTGTATCCTACGCGTTGTATATACTTTTTGTACACCCCAGTTCATGGTCCAATCAATCACCTTTGACAGTATTTCACGTGTTTTTTCTATTATAAAGGGGTTCACTTCAAATTGCGGTCGGTCCCATCTGCAACCGGGTGAAGCACGTATATACTAGCTATTTGAAGCTTGAAAGTTATGTAGATTAATTCTTAGGGTTTAGATATGTATTCCATTTGCGAAGTAGGGTTGATATGTATCCGTTCTCTCCAACAAAAACCCCCGAGTGATATACATCCATTGGGAGACTCAATCCTTGACAATGAGTGGCATGCAGACAATGGCATATTCTGACAACAGGGGAGGATTCCGACAGTTTCTCAGCAATATGCATTGTATGTTGTTCATCTCTACTACCAGTTACTTGCCTGGCAACTTTTAATTCGACCATCCAATGGCATCTCAACACCATGACTTCGATTTGCCTACTTTTGCTAAAACACAGAATGATGTTCTTGAGCAGTCTGCGTGGGAGCGTGGGCCAACCACGGATCGCTTGCGTATGGTCTGACTGTAGTACAAGGAGGACACCAAGTGCTATGGCGATACAAACGCGCACTTACACAGGAGAACGTTACGCCTGTGACTACCCTGGTTGCACAAGTACCTTCGCTCATTCCAGCTCGCTCAAAACGCACATTCGCTCTCACACAGGGGAACGTCCATATGCCTGTACGCACCTTGGTTGTAGCAGCGCTTTTGCAACCTCTGGCAGTCTCACGAGACATATACTCTCTCACACGGAAGAACGCCCGTATGCCTGTACTCACCCTGGTTGCACAAATGCCTATACTCAATCTGGCTCGCTCAAAACGCACATGAGAATTCACACGGGGGAGCGTCCATATGTCTGTACGCGCCTTGGTTGTAGCAGCGCGTTTGCCACTTCTAGTAGTCTTAAACGGCATGTACGTATTCACACAGGGGAACGGCCATATGCCTGTACGCACCTGGGGTGTAGCAGCGCGTTTGCCACTTCTGCTAGTCTTGCGAGACATTTGCGTATACACACTGGGGGTGGTCTATATGTCTGTAAGCACCTTGGTTGTAGCAGCTCTTTTGCAACCTCTGCTGGTCTCAAGAAACATGTGCGTTTTCACATAGGATAATGTACATATGCCTGTACATACCCAGGCTACACTAGTATCTTCAGGCAGTATTCTGCGCTGTATATGCACATGCGCTCTTACACAGTTGGTTGGTAGTAGCCTGGATGCGACGCCGTCGAGACAGACTCGTCTCCTAACAACTCAGATGTGCACGCAGATACAAGGACTGTGTGCTTGGTGGTGCGTTCATGAATTGCGGGTACGCTTTATCGCAAACCTGATATCAGTGTGAGTGCAGCTTTGTAAGCCACCACGTTCGGAGGTAATAAAGCCGTTTATACTGCCAGTGGATTATATATATTTAGGTACAATTATGATGAGCGTATAAAAGTATCTGCCGCCAAAATGGCTGTTTCGAAAGGACTGGCGGATGTCGCGACAGATATTCCCGACGAAATGATGCGAAACTTGTCGGACATGTCGTTTGCTCATAGCAAATTGTCGCGTACCAACTTAGCTCTTTAGCTCATCTCAACTCGTGGTATATTTTAACGAGACCCAAGTTCGAACGGGAACCTCGCCGAGGGATTTAGTTTTCTAGGGTTTCCCACTTAAGGCGTCCTTATTGAATGGACCTTCATGGTCTATTATTTTAAAGTCAATTAGCCATTGCGATTGGATATTTAAAAATAAAAACGGCCATCTACTGGATAAAATGAAATGATAATTTCATTTACATTGGGTTCTATTTGTGAGTAAACAGCCACGCTACAATATGTTCGTATTTAGACTGAACACGCGACTTGGAACTTGGGACTTGGAAGTTGCGGCGTTGCCAGTTGGAACTTCAAAGTTCAAAGTTGGAAGTTCAACTGTCAACAGACTTTTGAGAGTTTATGGGCCTGTGGCTCCCGAGGGAGTACTCTATGCTACCAGACTATTCATTGTCTATTCCTAACTCTCATCCTGTCATCCACATACTAAAACTCAGCTACGCTTGTAACTATGTATATAATTATTTATTTTAGGCTATGTACCTCTTTATAACATTTTAGACTATTTGAGAATGAGACATGGGAGAGGGACATGGTGTAGATAGAAGTAGGATATCTGGACTATTTGTATAACTATCCACGTGTGATAATAAAACTTAAAGGAGATAGGTGTATAAAAATAGTGGTAAGGGATATCTACTAAAATACTGATATTTCTATAGGTAGTAAATCTCTCTGTAAAGAGGAATACATGTCTCTAGATAGTTTAGGGGATCAATTTTGATATAAGTTTTAGTAAACAGGTGGCTAGAGGGAAAAGCGGTCTTATTGTAATTGGTACAAGTAGTGGGTCACCCATTCTCGGGTGCAGTATCTCCTCCAGGTATCCAGATGTCTTCGGTAGTCATACTAGTTCATACTATGGTCACTACTATGTACTCGCTATTGATCGTACACGCTACTTGTGCTACTCATATGATACGCTATTACTACACAAAGAGATTACATATGACATACATAACTATGTATAAGACAACTGGCAATAAACAGATCATCCTATTGTTTATTGGTATTTGATAGTTAATAGTTCAACTACAACAACGTTATGAACTACAACCTGGAAGAAAGAAATAGATCATATGTACTGTGAGGCATGGAATCATCGTATGGTCACTATTGGTTAGCCATAGCAAAATAAGCAAACTATACTGGACAACGTGATATATAAATAAAGATAAATATATCTATGGTCACTGACTCTGGGTTGGGTTTACCCACCCATATAGGCATATACAGTCACATGTACAGTCAACAACAGTGTACACTCACAACTACATAGAGTGTTAATATATTTACTATACTACCTATTGATTTAGTGTTCTTTTGTTTCTAAAATAAATGGTCTCTTGGTTACTCCTTGGTAAAATATAAATATTTATTAATATGTCTCTATGGGGATAATAAGCAGCTTTCAGAAATCAGAACGCAATCAGTGTGGCTCGGCTCCCAAATATTAGAAACCTATTTATGCCAAAGTAGATGAAAGGGCCGCTCCATGCGTGTTCTTCATGCACACAATGTCCTCGAACAACTTACCTTCCAAACAGTACTACACCACTTTATATATAATTCTGTTCGTATTTGCCCTGCTGTTTATATTTGCACTTGGGACAAACTTTTTGACACCATTATTCGACGATAGGATCGAGCTAAATTTAAAACCTGCTACCAAGTACTATGTAAGTGCACCAAAATTTGCAGATACATATCTAGATAATAATGAACTGACATCGAGGAGGAACAACCTCAACTATGCAGCTGGTTGCTATGGAAAGGATATGTACGACAGGCGCGTCGCCGACGAATATTACGAAGATGCCACAGAAGATCCTTCGCTTTCGATCGACAACGCCTGTAGTACCTTCAGGTGTGAATAGTTGATGTGACATACAAAGCATAGTGTACGCGTTCTCTGAGCATAAGTAAGAATTCGATATATATATATATATATATATATATATAACTAACAACACACACATACACCACACACACACACACACACACA